CCGGTCGGATGGGCATCCCCTGCCACCCGGACCTCCCCCCCCACTTCAAACCATGACAAGTGGCAAATTATTTTATCACGTTTTTGTGACTGAGACCTTAAAACTGCTTGAATTTGAAACACAAACATTTTAAAAAAATACTTTGTTCCGCCAATCTTTTGTCTGTAAATGCTTCATTGATTTTTATCTCGCTTTGTGAGATGCCCTACTGTATTCCTCCTTGTCTCCAGCCACTGATCTAGAGGGACACAGGTGTCTTGTAGGTCCTATGTGACATCTACCAGCCCCATGTGGATGTCTCAAATGTCCAAGGGCATGTCTGGTGATGCTGGGCTCCTCTGCAGGAGAATGGAGCCATGCCAAGGTCTCCACTGGCTGCAACAGGAGGCTGGATCATAGAATCATGGAATGGTTTGGGTGGGAAGGGACCTCAAAGATCATCCAGTTCCAACCCCCCTGCCATGGGCAGGGACACCCTCCACTACACAAGGTTGCCCAAAGCCCCATCCAACCTGGCCTTGAACACCTCCAGGGATGAGGCAGCCACAACTCCTCTGGGCAACCTGTGCTGTCCCAGTGCCTCACCACTCTCAGAGGGAAGAATTTCTTCCTTGGATCTAATCCAAATCTCCCCTCTTTCAGTTTAAAGCCATCATCCCTTGTCCTGTCACTACACACCCTTGTCCAAAGACCCTCTCCAGCTTTCCTGGAGCCCCTTTAGGTACTGGAAGGCTGTTGGAAGATCTCCTGAAAGTCTTCTCTTCTCCAGGCTGAACAGCCCCAACTCTCCCAGCCTGGCTCCATAGCAGAGGTGCTCCAGCCCTCGCATCATCTCCGTGGCCTCCTCTGGCCCCGCTCCAGCAGCTCCATGTCCTTCTTGTGTTGGGGACTCCAGAGCACAAAAAGTCTGAATTTGGCATAAGGAGGATGGCTGAAGAACCATAAATGGGACAGGGGGAGGAGGAGGTGAAAGAAACAGGTAGAAAACCTGTCATTGGACATATTGTAGGGGAAGGAAGCTGGGAGAGAAAGAGTTTGCAGAAGAAATCAGTGGGAAACCCGGAGGAGGAGGGAGGAGATTCAGAGCTCGGGTGGCAGGGCGGAGGGGGTCACATGAGGAGCAGGAAGGGAAGGATGTGATGGGACCAGTGGAAAACTGGACAGAGGTGTCGAAGGAAAGGGATCTGGGCTGATCCTGACCTTGTTCACATCAGGCAGGGCTGGGAGAAGGGAAGAAGGTCCAGAGGAGCACGGCTGGCCTAGCTGCTCCATCTGCCCCACGGCAGCAGCAGGGCCGGCCAGGACGTGGGTTCGGGACATCACGGGCAGGTCTGCAGCAAACCTGGAGTGTCTAAAGCTCCCGGTCGGTTGTCACAGCCGGTGTGACAGAGACACGGCTTCGGAGAGCATCACGGCTGCGCGTGGCACAACCCCATTGACAGCCTCACGCACAGCAAAGGGGATGAGACTCGCAAAAACACTCAGCCCTGGCCCTGAGCAAGGATCTGGAGAAGATGTCTTAATCCCTGGTCCCATGAGTCACATTCAGCAAAGCCCAAAGGGTTTAGGATTTGCTAATGGGAGAAGCTCTGAACGGACGCGTGAAACTAAAGCCTTCTGTGCTACAAGGCGGGGGTAAAAACCCATTGTGAACGTATTCAGGATAAAATCTGACTTATAGCCGTCACTGATGGTTACCATAACCCTCGTGGACCTCACTCCCGTAGGAGAAGCAGTGGCAGAAATGACAGATTGACTTCCAGAACAGCGTTTGGCCAGTTAAGGAAAGGCTGATGCCTGCAGTGACAAGAATGAGGTGGCTCAGACACTCCCTACCTCTCTTCTGTAGGGCCAGACTTCAAACAAAAGCAGCTGTGCCGTTGTTTGTTTTGGAGTCCAAATGGGGGCCAAGCTCATTTATCATCTGGTTTTCACCATCTCTGGATCTCGGTTCCTAATCTGTAAAAAAAATCATATTTTTCCTCTCTGATGCCTTATCTTGGTGTGTTTTTTCCCTGCATGCACACCTGGATCACAGACTCTGTCTATAAAGGGGTAGGACCACGTTCAGGTGGGGTCTGCCCTCATGGTTCCACAGGACAGAAAGGTCCTCATGTCTACCGCTTTTGAGTGCAAGAAATCCTTGCAGCCGGGGGGAAATTAATGCTCACAGATGGAAGAATGCTCCAGCACACAACTTCTTCGTATGCACCCTGCTGCTTTTAATGTGTGATGAGACTCGGATACAGCCACCAACAAACGAGATACGGTACCGGCCTCATCTGGACAAACCAGCTACGGTATCTTGTTTGATGATGGTGATTTTGCCAATATCTGCACTGCTGCACTGATGTCTCCTTCTGCTTCAATCAGCGCCTGCAGGTTTGCTCTTTGGTCCTGGAAGCCCATGGCACTGAGCTGCTCCATTTGTCTCTTAAATCTGGTCTGTGGCACCTCCTCATCCGTCTCCACCTGACCTTTTGCTTCATCCTTGTCTGACATCAAAATTGCCTCTTCCTCAGACTCCTCGTCTTCTTCTGAGTAGTCCATCCTTTCCTCATCCAGCTCCCCATTCGGGTCCCACACACTAGACATAAACTCTGGTGCTTCTCTTGAGAGGGTGCGTAGTCCCAGCTGGATCTGCAGCAACGCCTGCAGTGCTCTGGGCTTTGTCAGCAAGGATGAGTTCTCAGCCGTCTCCATCTCCGGTGGCAGCGGCTGCCTCCATTGATCTTGGGGTGGAGAATTTCCTTTGCTTGAAGCACGAGCGCCGCTCAGCAGCGTTTGCGCCGGGCCGTGGGGGTTTGTTAAGGCGGTCGCCAGGTTGAACATGAATTCTGGGTTTTCTATCAGCTGGTGAACC